GCCCGCTGTTTTGCCAGATGACTCGGTGCCCGCAGTCTTGCCAGATGACTTGGTGCCCACTGTCTTGCCTGACGACCCGATGCCAGCTGTCTTGCCAGATGACCCGGTTCCCGCTGTTTTGCCAGATGACTCGGTGCCCGCTGTCTTGCCAGATGACTCGTGCCCGCTGTCGAGCTTGACGACCCGATGCCCGCTGTTTTGCCAGATGACTCGGTGACCGCAGTCTTGCCAGATGACTCGGTGCCCGCTGTCTTGCTTGACGACCCGATGCCCGCTGTCTTGCCAGATGACCCGGTGCCTGCTGCTGTTTTACCAGATGACTCAGTGCCCGCAGTCTTGCCAGATGACTCACTGCCCGCTGTCGATCTTGATGACCCGATGCCCGCTGTTTTGCCAGATGACTCGGTGCCCGCAGTCTTGCCAGATGACTCGGTGCCCGCAGTCTTGCCAGATGACTCGGTGCCCACAGTCTTGCCAGATGACTCGGTGCCCGCTGTCGAGCTTAAAGACCCGATGCCCGATGTTTTGCCAGATGACTCGGTGGCCGCTGTCTTGCTTGACGACCCGATGCCCGCTTTCTTGTCAGATGACCCGGTGCCCGTTGTTTTGCCAGATGACTCGGTGCCCGCAGTCTTGCCAGATGACTCGGTGCCCGCAGTTTTGCCAGATGACTCGGTGCCCGAAGTTTTGCCAGATGACTCGTGGCCGCTGTCTTGCTTGACGACCCGATGCCCGCTGTCTTGTCAGATGACCCGGTGCCCGCTGTCTTGCCAGATGACTCGGTTCCTGCTGTCTTGCCAGATGACTCGGTGCCCGCAGACTTGCCAGATGATTCGGTGCCCGCTGTCGAGCTTAAAGACCCGATGCCTGCTGTTTTGCCAGGTGACTTTGTGACCGCTGTCTTGCTTGACGACCCGATGCCAGCTGTCTTGTCAGATGACCCGGTGCCCGTTGTTTTGCCATATGACTCGGTGCCCGCTGTCTTGCCAGATGTCTCGGTGACCGCAGTCTTGCCAGATGACTTGGTGCCCGCAGTCTTGCCATATGACTCGGTGTCCACTGTCTTGCTTGATGACCCGATGCCTGCCATCGAGCTTGATGACCCGATGCCCACTGTTTTGCCAGATGACTCGGTGCCCGCAGTCTTGCCAGATGACTCGGTGCCCACAGTCTTGCCAGATGTCTCGGTGCCCGCAGTCTTGCCAGATGTCTCGGTGCCCGCAGTCTTGCCAGATGACTCAGTGCCCGCAGTCTTGCCAGATGACTCGGTGCCCGCTGTCAAGCTTAAAGACCCGATGTCCGCTGTTTTGCTAGATGACTCGGTGGCCGCTGTTTTGCTTGACGACCCGATGCCCGCTGTCTTGTCAGATGACCCGGTGCCGTTGTTTTGCCAGATGACTCAATGCCCGCTGTTTTGCCAGATGACTCGGTGCCCGCAGTCTTGCCAGATGACTCGGTGCCCGCTGTCTTGCTTGACGACCCGATGCCCGCTGTCTTGCCAGATAACCCGGTGCCTGCTGTTTTGCCAGATGACTCAGTGCCCGCAGTCTTGCCAGATGACTCACTGCCCGCTGTCGATCTTGATGACCCGATGCCCGCTGTTTTGCCAGATGACTCGGTGCCCGCAGTCTTGCCAGATGACTCGGTGCCCGCAGTCTTGCCAGATGACTCGGTGCCCGCTGTCTTGCCAGATGACCCGGTGCCCGCTGTTTTGCCAGATGACTCGATGCCCGCAGTCTTGCCAGATGACTCGGTGCCCACAGTCTTGCCAGATGACTCGGTGCCCGCTGTCGAGCTTAAAGACCCGATGCCCGCTGTTTTGCCAGATGACTCGGTGGCCGCTGTCTTGCTTGACGACCCGATGCCCGCTTTCTTGTCAGATGACCCGGTGCCCGTTGTTTTGCCAGATGACCGGTGCCCGCAGTCTTGCCAGATGACTCGGTGCCCGCAGTCTTGCCAGATGACTCGGTGCCCGAAGTTTTGCCAGATGACTCGGTGGCCGCTGTCTTGCTTGACGACCCATGCCCGCTGTCTTGCCAGATGACCCGGTGCCCGCTGTCTTGCCAGATGACTCGGTTCCTGCTGTCTTGCCAGATGACTCCGTGCCCGCAGACTTGCCAGATGTCGGTGCCCGCTGTCGATAAAGACCCGATGCCTGCTGTTTTGCCAGGTGACTTTGTGCCCGCTGTCTTGCTTGACGACCCGATGAGCTGTCTTGTCAGATGACCCGGTGCCCGTTGTTTTGCCAGATGACCGGTGCCCGCAGTCTTGCCAGATGACTCGGTGCCTGCAGTCTTGCCAGATGACTCGGTGCCCACAGTCTTGCCAGATGACTCGGTGCCCACAGTTTTGCCAGATGACTCGGTGCCCGCTGTCCTTGCTTGATGACCCGATGCCCGCTGTCGAGCTTAAAGACCAGATGCCCGCTGTTTTGCCAGATGACTCGGTGCACTGTCTTGCTTGACGACCCAGATGACTCGGTGCCCGTCTTTTCAGATGACTCGGTGCCCGCAGACTTGCCAGATGACTCGGTGCTCGCAGTTTTGCCCGATTGTTTTGCCAGATGACCCGGTGCCCGCTGTCGAGCTTAAAGACCAGATGCCCGCTGTTTTGCCAGATGACTCGGTGCCACTGTCTGCTTGACAGATGCCTGCTGTCTCAGATGACCCGGTGCCCGCAGACTTGCCAGATGACTCGGTGCCCGTTGTTTTGCCAGATGACTCGGTGCCCGCTGTCGTGCTTACAGACCCGATGCACGCTGTTTTGCCAGATGACTCAGTGGCCGCTGTCTTCCTTGACGACCCGATGCCCGCTGTCTTGTCAGATGACCCGGTTCCCGTTATTTTGCCAGATGACTCGGTGCCCGCTTTCTTGCCAGATGACTCGGTACCCGCAGTCTTGCCAGATCCAGATGACTCGGCGCCCGCAGTCTTGCCAGATGACTCGGTGCCCACAGTCTTGCCAGATGACTCGGTGCCCACTGTCTTGCCAGACGACTCGGTGCCCGCAGTCTTGCCAGATGACTCGGTGCCCGCAGTCTTGCCAGATGACTCGGTGCCCGCAGTCTTGCCAGATGACTCGGTGCCAGATGACTTCGACTCGCGCCCGCAGTCTTGCCAGATGACTCGGCGTCTGCAGTCTTGTCTTGCCAGATGACCCGATGCCCGTTATTTTCCCAGATTACTCGGTGCCCGCTTTCTTGCCAGATGACTCGGTGCCCGCAGTCTTGCCAGACGACTCGGTGCTCGCAGTCTTGCCAGATGACTCGGCGCCCGTAGCCTTGCCAGATGACTCGGAGCCCACAGTCTTGCAAGATGACTCGGTGCCCGCTGTCTTGCTTGACGACCCGATGCCCGCTGTCTTGCCAGATGACCCGATGCCCGCTGTCTTGCTTGACGACCCGATGCCCGCTGTCTTGCCAGATGACCCGATGCCCGCTGTTTTGCCAGATGACTCGGTGCCTGCTGTCTTGCCAGATGACTCGGTGGCCGCTGTCTTGCTTGACGACCCGATGCCCGCTGTCTTGTTAGGTGAATCGGTGCCCGCTGTTTTGCCCGATGACTCGGTGCCCGCTAACTTGCCAGATGACTCGGTGCCCGCTGTCGAGCTTGACGACCCGATGCCCGCTGTTTTGCCAGATGACTCGGTGCCCGCAGTCTTGCCAGATGACTCGGTGCCCGCTGTTTTGCCAGATGACTCGGTGCCCGCAGTCTTGCCAGATGACTCGGTGCCCGCTGTCTTGCCAGATGACTCGGTGCCCGCAGTCTTGCCAGATGACTCGGCCCCCACAGTCTTGCCAGGTGACTCAGTGCCCGCAGTCTTGCCAGATGATTTGGTGCCCGCAGTCTTGCCAGATGACTTGGTGCCCGCTGTCGAGCTTAAAGACCCGATGCCCGCTGTTTTGCCAGATGACTCGGTGGCCGCTGTCTTGCCAGACGACTCGGTGCCCGCCTTGCCATATGACTGTGCCCGCAGTTTGCCAGATGACTCGGCGCCCGCAGTCTTGCCAGATGACTCAGTTGCCGCTGTTTCCAGACCCGATGACTGTCGGTGCCCGCAGTCTTGCCAGATGACTCGGTGCCCGCAGTCTTGCCAGATGACTCGGTACCCGCCCTTGCAGTGACTCGGCGCCCGCAGTCTTGCCAGATGACTCGGTGCCCACAGTCTTGCCAGATGACTCGGTGCCCACTGTCTTGCCAGACGACTCGGTGCCCGCAGTCTTGCCAGATGACTCGGCGGCGCCCGTAGTCTTGCCAGATGACTCGGAGCCCGCAGTATTGCCAGATGACTCGGTGCCCGCTGTCTTGTTTGACGACCCGATGCCCGCTGTCTTGCTTGACGACGATGCCCGCTGTCTTGCCAGATGACCCGATGCCCGCTGTCTTGCCAGATGACCCTTGCCAGATGACTCCGCCCGCAGTCTTGCCAGATGACTCGGCTCCCGCAGTCTTGCCAGATGACTCGGCGCCCGCAGTCTTGCCAGATGACTCGGTGCCCGCTGTCTTGCTTGACGACCCGATGCCCGCTGTCTTGCTTGATGACCTGATGCCTGCTGTCTTTCCAGATGACCCGGTGCCCGCTGTTTTGCCAGATAACTCGGTGCCCGCTGTCTTGCTAGATGACTTGGTGCCCGCTGTCGAACTTGACGACCCGATGCCCACTGTTTTGCCAGATGACTCGGTGCCTGCAGTCTTGCCAGATGACTCAGTGCCCGCAGTCTTGCCAGATGACTCGGTACCCGCTGTTTTGCCAGATGACTCGGTGCCCGCAGTCTTGCCAGATGACTCGGTGCCCGCTGTCTTGCTTGACTACCCGATGCCCGCTGTGCCCTTGCCAGATGACCCGGTGCCCGCTGTTTTGCCAGATGACTCGGTGCCCGCTGTCTTGCCAGATGACTCGGTGCCCGCTGTCGAGCTTGACAACCCGATGCCCGCTGTCTTGCCAGATGATTCGGTGCCCGCAGTCTTGCCAGATGACTCGTGCCCGCTGTCTTGCCAGATGACTCAGAGCCCGCTGTCTTGCCAGATGGCCTGGTGGCCGCTGCTCCGCTTGGTGGCCGGTGCCCGCTGCTCCGCCTGGTGGCCCGTTGCCCGCTTCTCCCCTTGTTGACCGGTTCCCGCTGCTCCACCTGGTGGCCCAGTGCCCAGCCTGATGTGCCTCTGTCCGGTGCCCAGCATGATGTGCCTCTGTCCGGTGCCCAGCATGATGTGCCTCTGTCCGGTGCCCAGCCTGATGTGCCTCTGTCCGGTGCCCAGCCTGATGTGCCTGGCTGATGTGCCTCTGTCCGGTGCCCAGCCTGATGTGCCTCTGTCCGGTGCCCAGCCTGATGTGCCTGGCTGATGTGCCTCTGTCCGGTGCCCAGCCTGATGTTCCTCCGTCTGATGCCCAGCCTGATGTGCCTCTGCCCAGTGCCCATCCTGATGTACCAGTCCTTGATATCCCGCCAATTACCGGATCCAGGCGGTGGAACATTTTGCCCATTTAGGATGGTTTGGAGCGTCCTGAGGCCGCTCCTTGAGGGGGGGGTACTGTCAGGAATAGACTCGCCAATAGTGGTGGGACTCACCTGCTTTGTGGGGTGCAGTACCAGGACTGGCCAGTGGGTGCTCTCAGCAACCAGAGGCTCACTCCTGCAGTTAGCCAAAACACCTGAGGCTGATTGCAGGAGGTGCATATAAGGAATGGCCAGACTTTCAATCAGGGCCTTGGTGTATGTTTCCCAAGAGCCTCTGTACCTGCATCCTGTCTGCTTCCTGTCTGATCCTGCTTGATCCCTGACTCTGATTGCACTCCGCCTGTCCTGACCTCTGCTATTCCTGACCACTCTCCAGTCTGCTCCTTTGGTACCTTGTCTGCCTGATTGTTCCTGACCCGGCCCGTCTGACTATGCTCTGCCTCCTCCTTTGTACCTTGCCTGCCTGTTTGCTACCGACCCGGCCTGCCCGACTACGCTTAGTATTGTTCTTTTGTTATCTGTTGGGGGTTTTGGTTTGGTTTTGTTGCACTGTGTTTATGTTTAGTCTTGCACTGCACCCCCCCCTTATGTATTATACATGGAGATCATATCCCCCTTATGTATTATACATGGAGATCATATCCCCCCTTATGTGTATTATACATGGAGATCATATATCCCCCCTTATGTATTATACATGGAGATCATATCCCCCTTATGTATTATACATGGAGATCATATCCCCCCTTATGTATTATACAAGGAGATCATATCCCCCTTATGTATTATACATGGAGATCATATCCCCCCTTATGTATTATACATGGAGATCATATCCCCCCTTATGTATTATACATGGAGATCATATCCCCCCCTGATGTATTATACATGGAGATCATATCCCCCCCCCCCCTTATGTATTATACATGGAGATCATATCCCCCTTATGTAGTTATACATGGAGATCATATCCCCCCTTATGTATTATACATGGATATCATATCCCCCTTATGTATTATACATGGAGATCATATCCCCCTTATGTATTATACATGGAGATCATATCCCCCCTTATGTATTATACATGGAGATCATATCCCCCTTATGTATTATACATGGAGATCATATCCCCCCTTATGTATTATTATGCATGGTGATCATATCCCCCCTTATGTATTATACATGGAGATCATACCCCCCCTTATGTAATATACATGGAGATCATATCCCCCCCTTATGTATTATACATGGAGATCATATCCCCTTTATGAATTATACATGGGAGATCATATCCCCCCTTATGTATTATACATGGAGATCATATCCCCCCTTATGTATTATACATGGATATCATATCCCCCCTTATGTATTATACATGGTGATCATATCCCCCTTATGTATTATACATTGGAGATCATATCCCCCCTTATGTATTTATACATGGAGATCATATCCCCCCTTATGTATTATACATGGAGATCATATCCCCCTTATGTATTATACATGGAGATCATATCCCCCTTATGTATTATATACATGGAGATCATATCCCCCTCTTATGTATTATACATGGAGATCATATCCCCCTTATGTATTATACATGGAGATCATATCCCCCCTTATGTATTATACATGGAGATCATATCCCCCCTTATGTATTATACATGGTTTTTCATATCCCCCCTTATGTATTATACATGGAGATCATATCCCCCCTTATGTATTATATCATGGAGATCATATCCCCCCTTATATATTATACATGGAGATCATATCCCCCTTATGTATTATACATGGAGATCATACCCCCCTTATGTATTATACATGGAGATCATATCCCCCCCCTTATGTATTATACATGGATGATTATATCCCCCTTATGTATTATACATGGAGATCATATCCCCTTTTATGTATTATACATGGAGATCATTTTTTATGTATTATACATGGAGATCATATCCCCTTATGTATTATACATGGAGATCATATCCCCCTTTATGTATTATTTTGGAGATCATATCCCCCCCTTATGTATTATACATGGAGATCATATCCCCCCCTTATGTATTATACATGGAGATCATATCCCCCCTTATGTATTATACATGGAGAGATCATATACCCCCCCTTATTTTATTTTATTATACATGGAGATCATATCCCCCTTATGTATTATACATTGATTATATCCCCCATTTATGTATTATACATGGAGATCATATCCCCCCTTATGTATTATACATGGAGATCATATCCCCCCTTTATGTATTATACATTGGTGATCATATCCCCCTTATGTATTTATACATGGAGATCATATCCCCCCTTATGTATTATACATGGAGATCATATCCCCCCTTATGTATTATACATGGAGATCATATCCCCCCTCTTATGTATTATACATGGAGATCATATCCCCCTTATGTATTATACATGGAGATCATATCCCCCCTTTATTTATTATTTTTTTTGGAGATCATATCCCCCCTTATTGTATTTTACATGGAGATCATATCCCCATTTATGTATTATACATGGAGATCATATTCCCCTTATGTATTATACATGGAAATCATATCCCCCTTATTTTTATTATACATGGAGATCATATCCCCCCTTATGTTTTATACATTTTTTCATATCCCCCCTTATGTATTATACATGGAGATCATATCCCCCCTTATGTTTTTTATACATGGAGATCATATCCCCACTTATGTATTATACATGGAGATCATATCCTTTTTGTTTTTATTTAATGGAGATCATATCCCCCCCTTATGTATTATACATGGAGATCATATTTTTTATGTATTATACATGGAGATCATATCCCCCCTTTATTTTTATACATGGAGATCATATCCCCCCCTTATGTATTATACATGGAGATCATATCCCCCCTTTATGTATTATACATGGAGATTATTATTTTTTATTTTTATTTTTTTTTTATGTATTATTATACATGGAGATCATATCCCCCCTTATTTATTATACATTTTCATATCCCCCCTTATGTATTTTACATGGAGATCATTATCCCCCTTATGTATTATACATGGAGATCATATCCCCCCCTTATGTATTATACATGGAGATCATATCCCCCCTTTATGTATTATGCATGGAGATCATATCCCCTTATGTATTATACATGGAGATCATATTCCCCCCTTATGTATTATACATGGAGATCATATCCCCCCTTTTGTATTATACATGGTGATCATATCCCCCCTTATGTATTATACATGGAGATCATATCCCCCCCTTATGTATTATACATGGAGATCATATCCCCCTTATGTATTATACATGGAGATCATATCCCCCTTATGTATTATACATGGAGATCATATCCCCCCTTATGTATTATACGTGGAGATCATAACTGACCAATAACTTTGCATGAACTGGAGAGGCATTTTATGTGCTAAGATATTGGGGCATCTTATACCACCTGCAAGAACTCAGGGCCTCATATTTTTTTTTATTATATATATTGCCAAAAGTATTTGGACGCCTGCCTTTTTAATTGCACATGAGACCTTTAATGGCCCCCCAGTCCTTAGTCTGTAGGGTTCAATTTATTTTTTTATTTGCATTTATAACAGCTTCAACTCTTCTGGGAAAGGCCGCCCACAAGGTTTAGGAGGGTGTCTATGGGAAGTTTGGACCATTCTTCCAGAAGCACATTTGTCAGGTCAGGCACTGATGTCGGGGGAGGAGGCCTGGCTCGCATCCCCGCTCTAATTCATCCCAAAGGTGTTCTATGGGGTTGAGGTTTTTCTGTGCAGGACAGTCAAGTGTCTACCCCAAACTGGCTCCTCCATGTCTTTATATGGACCTTGCTTTGTGCACTTTTTTTCATGGGGCCATCCCCAAACTCCCACAAAGTTGGGAGCATGAAATTCTCCAAAATGTCTTGGTTGCTGATGCATTAAGAGTTCCCTTCACTGGAAATAGGGGGCCAAGCCCAACCCCTGAAAAACAACCCCAAACCATAAATCACGCCGCCACCAAACTTACACTTGGCACAATGCAATCAGGCAAGTACCATTCTGGCAACCACCAAACCCAGATATGTCCATCAGATTGTCAGACAGAGAAGCGTGATTGATTGTCACTCCAGAGAACACGTCTCCACTTCATGGAGAACTTACAGTCCCAGTGGCATCGTGCTTTACACACCACGGCATCCAACACTTTGCATTGCACTTGGTGATGGAAGGCTTGGATGCTTTTTGCTCGGCCATGGGAAATCCCCATTCCATGAAGTTCTCTACGCACTGTTGTTGGGCTCATCTGAAGGCCACACCAAGTTTGGAGGTCTTTAGCTTATTGACTCTGTAGACTCTGTGTGCTACAGCATGTGCTGACCCCGCTTGTTATTTTACATGGCCTGTTTTTTTTGCTGTTGTTCCCAGTGACTTCCACTTTGTTATAATCCCACTAACATTTGAGCGTGAAATATTCAGTAGCCAGGAAATGTCACGGATGGACTTATTGCACAGGTCCCACCTATCATGGGACCACGCTTGGAGTCACTGAGCTCCTGAGAGCGACCCTTCTTTCTTTCACCAATGTTTTATAAGAAGTCTGCATGAAAGGGGCTTGATTGTATATTTTTTTTTTTTTATACACCTTGTCCATGGAGGGGATTGGAACACCTGAATCACATGATATTTATGGGGGATTGGAACACCTGAATCACATGATATGGAGGGGATTAGAACACCTGAATCACATGATTTGGAGGACAGGCCAATACTTTTGACAATACAGTTATTACAAAAGACTGCACACTTTTATTGATGCTAGAGGGGGCAATACACAGTATTAAGAACTAATGGGATTTAGGCTCACTTGAACAGGGGGGCATTTCATTGGTTTTACTTGTTTCCATGTTTTGCTTTATGATTGGACCATTCTGTTATCACCTCCAGTTACAGAATATGAATCCCATAAGAAATAAAAGAAATAGGTTTTGTCGGCTCACTTATACTTTCTTTAAAAAATGGTCCATCCTGTATATTGCCAATTCTCCAAGAGGAGGCAAACCTCGAGCGCGACTGTACAGCATACATTTTTTTTTTTTTTTTCTTTTTGGGCCTCGATGGGGATTTTTTTTTTTATTTTTTTTTTTTTTTTTTTTTTTTTTTTTTTTTTTTTTTTTTTTTTTTTTTTTTTTTTTTTTTTTTTTTTTTTTTTTTTTTTTTTTTTTTTTTTTTTTTTTTTTTTTTTTTTTTTTTTTTTTTTTTTTTTTTTTTTTTTTTTTTTTTTTTTTTTTTTTTTTTTTTTTTTTTTTTTTTTTTTTTTTTTTTTTTTTTTTTTTTTTTTTTTTTTTTTTTTTTTTTTTTTTTTTTTTTTTTTTTTTTTTTTTTTTTTTTTTTTTTTTTTTTTTTTTTTTTTTTTTTTTTTTTTTTTTTTTTTTTTTTTTTTTTTTTTTTTTTTTTTTTTTTTTTTTTTTTTTTTTTTTTTTTTTTTTTTTTTTTTTTTTTTTTTTTTTTTTTTTTTTTTTTTTTTTTTTTTTTTTTTTTTTTTTTTTTTTTTTTTTTTTTTTTTTTTTTTTTTTTTTTTTTTTTTTTTTTTTTTTTTTTTTTTTTTTTTTTTTTTTTTTTTTTTTTTTTTTTTTTTTTTTTTTTTTTTTTTTTTTTTTTTTTTTTTTTTTTTTTTTTTTTTTTTTTTTTTTTTTTTTTTTTTTTTTTTTTTTTTTTTTTTTTTTTTTTTTTTTTTTTTTTTTTTTTTTTTTTTTTTTTTTTTTTTTTTTTTTTTTTTTTTTTTTTTTTTTTTTTTTTTTTTTTTTTTTTTTTTTTTTTTTTTTTTTTTTTTTTTTTTTTTTTTTTTTTTTTTTTTTTTTTTTTTTTTTTTTTTTTTTTTTTTTTTTTTTTTTTTTTTTTTTTTTTTTTTTTTTTTTTTTTTTTTTTTTTTTTTTTTTTTTTTTTTTTTTTTTTTTTTTTTTTTTTTTTTTTTTTTTTTTTTTTTTTTTTTTTTTTTTTTTTTTTTTTTTTTTTTTTTTTTTTTTTTTTTTTTTTTTTTTTTTTTTTTTTTTTTTTTTTTTTTTTTTTTTTTTTTTTTTTTTTTTTTTTTTTTTTTTTTTTTTTTTTTTTTTTTTTTTTTTTTTTTTTTTTTTTTTTTTTTTTTTTTTTTTTTTTTTTTTTTTTTTTTTTTTTTTTTTTTTTTTTTTTTTTTTTTTTTTTTTTTTTTTTTTTTTTTTTTTTTTTTTTTTTTTTTTTTTTTTTTTTTTTTTTTTTTTTTTTTTTTTTTTTTTTTTTTTTTTTTTTTTTTTTTTTTTTTTTTTTTTTTTTTTTTTTTTTTTTTTTTTTTTTTTTTTTTTTTTTTTTTTTTTTTTTTTTTTTTTTTTTTTTTTTTTTTTTTTTTTTTTTTTTTTTTTTTTTTTTTTTTTTTTTTTTTTTTTTTTTTTTTTTTTTTTTTTTTTTTTTTTTTTTTTTTTTTTTTTTTTTTTTTTTTTTTTTTTTTTTTTTTTTTTTTTTTTTTTTTTTTTTTTTTTTTTTTTTTTTTTTTTTTTTTTTTTTTTTTTTTTTTTTTTTTTTTTTTTTTTTTTTTTTTTTTTTTTTTTTTTTTTTTTTTTTTTTTTTTTTTTTTTTTTTTTTTTTTTTTTTTTTTTTTTTTTTTTTTTTTTTTTTTTTTTTTTTTTTTTTTTTTTTTTTTTTTTTTTTTTTTTTTTTTTTTTTTTTTTTTTTTTTTTTTTTTTTTTTTTTTTTTTTTTTTTTTTTTTTTTTTTTTTTTTTTTTTTTTTTTTTTTTTTTTTTTTTTTTTTTTTTTTTTTTTTTTTTTTTTTTTTTTTTTTTTTTTTTTTTTTTTTTTTTTTTTTTTTTTTTTTTTTTTTTTTTTTTTTTTTTTTTTTTTTTTTTTTTTTTTTTTTTTTTTTTTTTTTTTTTTTTTTTTTTTTTTTTTTTTTTTTTTTTTTTTTTTTTTTTTTTTTTTTTTTTTTTTTTTTTTTTTTTTTTTTTTTTTATTTTTTTTTTTTTTTTTTTTTTTTTTTTTTTTTTTTTTTTTTTTTTTTTTTTTTTTTTTTTTTTTTTTTTTTTTTTTTTTTTTTTTTTTTTTTTTTTTTTTTTTTTTTTTTTTTTTTTTTTTTTTTTTTTTTTTTTTTTTTTTTTTTTTTTTTTTTTTTTTTTTTTTTTTTTTTTTTTTTTTTTTTTTTTTTTTTTTTTTTTTTTTTTTTTTTTTTTTTTTTTTTTTTTTTTTTTTTTTTTTTTTTTTTTTTTTTTTTTTTTTTTTTTTTTTTTTTTTTTTTTTTTTTTTTTTTTTTTTTTTTTTTTTTTTTTTTTTTTTTTTTTTTTTTTTTTTTTTTTTTTTTTTTTTTTTTTTTTTTTTTTTTTTTTTTTTTTTTTTTTTTTTTTTTTTTTTTTTTTTTTTTTTTTTTTTTTTTTTTTTTTTTTTTTTTTTTTTTTTTTTTTTTTTTTTTTTTTTTTTTTTTTTTTTTTTTTTTTTTTTTTTTTTTTTTTTTTTTTTTTTTTTTTTTTTTTTTTTTTTTTTTTTTTTTTTTTTTTTTTTTTTTTTTTTTTTTTTTTTTTTTTTTTTTTTTTTTTTTTTTTTTTTTTTTTTTTTTTTTTTTTTTTTTTTTTTTTTTTTTTTTTTTTTTTTTTTTTTTTTTTTTTTTTTTTTTTTTTTTTTTTTTTTTTTTTTTTTTTTTTTTTTTTTTTTTTTTTTTTTTTTTTTTTTTTTTTTTTTTTTTTTTTTTTTTTTTTTTTTTTTTTTTTTTTTTTTTTTTTTTTTTTTTTTTTTTTTTTTTTTTTTTTTTTTTTTTTTTTTTTTTTTTTTTTTTTTTTTTTTTTTTTTTTTTTTTTTTTTTTTTTTTTTTTTTTTTTTTTTTTTTTTTTTTTTTTTTTTTTTTTTTTTTTTTTTTTTTTTTTTTTTTTTTTTTTTTTTTTTTTTTTTTTTTTTTTTTTTTTTTTTTTTTTTTTTTTTTTTTTTTTTTTTTTTTTTTTTTTTTTTTTTTTTTTTTTTTTTTTTTTTTTTTTTTTTTTTTTTTTTTTTTTTTTTTTTTTTTTTTTTTTTTTTTTTTTTTTTTTTTTTTTTTTTTTTTTTTTTTTTTTTTTTTTTTTTTTTTTTTTTTTTTTTTTTTTTTTTTTTTTTTTTTTTTTTTTTTTTTTTTTTTTTTTTTTTTTTTTTTTTTTTTTTTTTTTTTTTTTTTTTTTTTTTTTTTTTTTTTTTTTTTTTTTTTTTTTTTTTTTTTTTTTTTTTTTTTTTTTTTTTTTTTTTTTTTTTTTTTTTTTTTTTTTTTTTTTTTTTTTTTTTTTTTTTTTTTTTTTTTTTTTTTTTTTTTTTTTTTTTTTTTTTTTTTTTTTTTTTTTTTTTTTTTTTTTTTTTTTTTTTTTTTTTTTTTTTTTTTTTTTTTTTTTTTTTTTTTTTTTTTTTTTTTTTTTTTTTTTTTTTTTTTTTTTTTTTTTTTTTTTTTTTTTTTTTTTTTTTTTTTTTTTTTTTTTTTTTTTTTTTTTTTTTTTTTTTTTTTTTTATTTTTTTTTTTTTTTTTTTTTTTTTTTTTTTTTTTTTTTTTTTTTTTTTTTTTTTTTTTTTTTTTTTTTTTTTTTTTTTTTTTTTTTTTTTTTTTTTTTTTTTTTTTTTTTTTTTTTTTTTTTTTTTTTTTTTTTTTTTTTTTTTTTTTTTTTTTTTTTTTTTTTTTTTTTTTTTTTTTTTTTTTTTTTTTTTTTTTTTTTTTTTTTTTTTTTTTTTTTTTTTTTTTTTTTTTTTTTTTTTTTTTTTTTTTTTTTTTTTTTTTTTTTTTTTTTTTTTTTTTTTTTTTTTTTTTTTTTTTTTTTTTTTTTTTTTTTTTTTTTTTTTTTTTTTTTTTTTTTTTTTTTTTTTTTTTTTTTTTTTTTTTTTTTTTTTTTTTTTTTTTTTTTTTTTTTTTTTTTTTTTTTTTTTTTTTTTTTTTTTTTTTTTTTTTTTTTTTTTTTTTTTTTTTTTTTTTTTTTTTTTTTTTTTTTTTTTTTTTTTTTTTTTTTTTTTTTTTTTTTTTTTTTTTTTTTTTTTTTTTTTTTTTTTTTTTTTTTTTTTTTTTTTTTTTTTTTTTTTTTTTTTTTTTTTTTTTTTTTTTTTTTTTTTTTTTTTTTTTTTTTTTTTTTTTTTTTTTTTTTTTTTTTTTTTTTTTTTTTTTTTTTTTTTTTTTTTTTTTTTTTTTTTTTTTTTTTTTTTTTTTTTTTTTTTTTTTTTTTTTTTTTTTTTTTTTTTTTTTTTTTTTTTTTTTTTTTTTTTTTTTTTTTTTTTTTTTTTTTTTTTTTTTTTTTTTTTTTTTTTTTTTTTTTTTTTTTTTTTTTTTTTTTTTTTTTTTTTTTTTTTTTTTTTTTTTTTTTTTTTTTTTTTTTTTTTTTTTTTTTTTTTTTTTTTTTTTTTTTTTTTTTTTTTTTTTTTTTTTTTTTTTTTTTTTTTTTTTTTTTTTTTTTTTTTTTTTTTTTTTTTAATTTTTTTTTTTTTTTTTTTTTTTTTTTTTTTTTTTTTTTTTTTTTTTTTTTTTTTTTTTTTTTTTTTTTTTTTTTTTTTTTTTTTTTTTTTTTTTTTTTTTTTTTTTTTTTTTTTTTTTTTTTTTTTTTTTTTTTTTTTTTTTTTTTTTTTTTTTTTTTTTTTTTTTTTTTTTTTTTTTTTTTTTTTTTTTTTTTTTTTTTTTTTTTTTTTTTTTTTTTTTTTTTTTTTTTTTTTTTTTTTTTTTTTTTTTTTTTTTTTTTTTTTTTTTTTTTTTTTTTTTTTTTTTTTTTTTTTTTTTTTTTTT